AATGCAAATGTGAATGGGGTTGTTTTATTAATTTCTCTTTCTATTAGTTTGTGATTAGTGTATAGAAATGCAACAGATACCTGACTATTAATTTTGAACCCTGTGACTTTACTGAATTTATTTATTAGTTCTAATAGTTTTTTGATAGCATCTTTAGGATTTTTCTATATATAATATCAGGTCATCTGCAAAAAGTGACAGTTCTACTTTTTCCTTTTCAATTTGGATTCCTTTTATTTCTTTTTATTGTCTAATTGCTGTGGCTGGGACTTCCAAAACTATGTTGGACAAAAGTGATGAGAATGGTCATTTTGCCTTGTTCCTGATCTTGTTGCTTTCAGCTTTTCATCCTTTCAGCATTTCATTCATGTTAGCTGTAGATTTGTCACATATGGGCTTAATTATGTGAAGGTATATTCCCTCTAGACCCACTTTGTTGAGAGTTTTTATCATAAATAGATGTTGAATTTTGTCAAAAGCTTTTTCTGCATCTATTGAGATTATCATATGACTTTTAGTCTTCAGTTTGTTAATATGATATATCACATTGATTAATTTGCAGATATTGAACCTTCCTTTTCATCACTGGGATAAATCCCACTTGTTCATGGTGTGTGATCCATATAATTTATTGTTGGATTTGGTTTGCTAATATCTTGTTAAAGATTTTAGCATCTATTTTCATCACTGATATTCACCTGTAATTTTCTTTCTTTCTTTCTTTTTTTTCTTCTGGTTTTGGAATCGAGGTGATAATGGCCTTATAGAATGAGTTCAGAAGCATTCCTTCCTCTGCAATTTTTGAAATAGTTTGAGAAGGATATGTGTTAAATCTTACCTAAATGTTTGGTGGAATTTACCTGTGAATCATCCAGTCCTGGACTTTTGTTTGTTGGGACTTTTTTAAATTACTGATTCAATTTTATTACTAGTTATTGGTCTATTTATATTTTCTGTTTCTTCCCAATGCAGTCTTGGGAGATTGTATGTTTCTAGGAATTTTTCCATTTCTTCTAGTTGTCCATTTTATTGGTATATAATTATTCGTGGTAATCTCTTATGACCCTTTGCATTTCCATGGTGTTATTTTAACTTCTCCTTTTTTGATTCTGATTTATTTATTTGGGCCCCCTTTTCTTCTTGATGAGTCTGGCTACAAGTTTATCAATTTTATTTATCTTTTCAAAGAACCAGATCTTAGTTTCATTGATCTTTTCAATTTTTTTTATTTTAGTCTGTATTTTATTGATTTGTGCTCTAATATTTATGACTTCTTTCCTCCTACTAACTCTGGGTTTTGTTTCTTCTTTTTCTGATTTCTTTAGGTGTAAGGTCAGGTTGTTTATTTATTTTTCTTGTTTCCTATAGTTGACTTGTAGTGCTAAAAACTTTCCTCTCAGAACTGCTTTTGCTGTGTCCTGTACATTTTAGATCATTGTAATTCCATTTTCACTTGTCTCCAGGTATTTTTTTATTTTTTCTTTCATTTCTTCAGTGATTCATTGGTTGTTTAGTAGCATATTGTTTATCCTCCACATGTTTGTGTTTTTTGCAGTTTTTTTCTTATAGTTGATTTCTAGTCTTACACCATTATGGTCAGAAAAGATGCCTTATATGATTTCAGTTTTCTTAAATTATCTATCCTGGACAGTGTTCCATATGCACTTGAAAATAGTGTGTATTCTGCATTTGGATGGAATGTTTTTTATTTATCTATTAAGGCTATCTGGTCTAATGTGTCGTGTAAGGCCAGTGTTTCTTTATTGATTTTTTTGTCTGGATGATCCGTCCATTGATGTAAATGGGGGGTTAAAGTCCTTACTATTGTTGTGTTGCTATCAATTTCTCCCTTTATGTCTGTTAATATTTGCTTTATGTATTTAGGTGCTCCTATGTTGGGTACATACATATTTACAATTGTTTTATCTTCATCTTGGATTGAGTCCCTTGATCATTATGTAATGCCCTTCTTTGTCTCTTTTTACAGTCTTTGTTTAAAATCTATTTTGTTTGATATAGATGTTTCTTCCAGCTTTATTTTTGTTCCCATTTGCATGGAATAACTTTTTCCATTCCCTCATGTTCAATCTGTTTGTGCCTTTAGATTTGAAATGAGTCTCTTGCAGGCAGCATATATATGGGTCTTGTTTTTTCACCCATTCAGACACTCTGTCTTTTGATAAGAGCATTTAGTCCATTTACACTTAAAGTAAGTGCTATAGATATGTATTTAACTTTGTTAATTGTTTTCTGGTTGTATTTATAGTTCTTTTTGTTTTTT